AATAATAAAACATATTAACGGGCTTAATGGCCAAAAATAGGAACTTACCATATCGACATAATCCATAAAAAATTGTGCCCGCAGTGCGTGGGAGACTCAACCTTGATTGGCGTGTGCTGATGCAACTGTAACAGTAACACTATAAAAGAAGTGTTTATTAAACGAACAATTAAAAAGAGTCAAATATGCCATACTATAAAAATTGTTATTCCAGAGGTTAGCCACAGGGGTCACTTACTAATAAATTTACCTGATAAATCATATAAGATACTGCTATCATGCTGCCATTTTTCACGCTGTGCTTGCAATCATTGAACACACAGGTGGTGAAACCTGTGGCCCTATCACATTCAGAAGTAAGCATTCCCGTATCATGTAGTTCACAAAAAGTGTTGGCATCTGTGTTCTTCAGTAGGCATACGATCATAAACGTCAACAAAATTTTGAACATCGGATTGCCCGGCTCCATTGACAATTCTGCGTTTATATATTAAGTGTTTCAGGGACCACAGAAAAGTGTACATTTGTGAAACGAAGGACTGACAAGTGTGTGACATTTCAGGTAGACATTTTGCTGACAGCTATTCATAAAAACCATTGAATTTCACGTGCATGTTAGCTGTGAGAGTATTATTTCAATATCATCCAGCGAAACGTTACATTGACAATGAATGCACACAGTAGATTTTATATCAGTTTAAGGGGAGAGAAGCATTAGAGGTAGGAAAACAACGTCCGACGCTATATTGTTTAACTTGTGTTTAATTTAGATAACTTTAAAGTGAAATACTTTCAGTTTATGCAGGATATATGCATGTTCCTTTGCGATCCCTAGTTTAATTGCTAACCAAGCATATTTAAATCGTAAGGGCGACTACCTTGTGAGTAGAGAATAACTTGACACATGGTTCCCGGAGTGAATCATCTATTGTTTTTGCTTGATCATTACCTGACCCCTCCAGATAACATACGGTCTGATCACTTAAGATGAATTCATTTTTTAGAAAATAATCCGTCTGGTTCAGAATTTTATATACATGATTTTCCTTCGTGATATTTTTATGCCGAGATTGCAGCCCCTTGTAATTCACTTAAAGGGAATATGTATGTGATAGGAGCACTACGGTATTGTCTACAAAATGTGTTATGAGTCAGCGGACGTCGTCAACTAGCTGATAGTTAGAGTCTATACAATGTGGCAGAAATAGGGAAAACCATCAAAGCGCAGTAGGCTCCCCATAGATATTTACCTGCATTTTATTCAAAATGAGAAAAAAAGCATCGTTCGGTTGACTAGCCGACAATGTATGGAGAAAGGACTGGTCCAAAGCAAAGTACAGAATTCGAGCAGGAACGAAATAATACAATTCAATAGTACTCACCCTTTGTTACGGAAACGTAGCAAAGCGTACCCGAAGTCATTAATAAAAGAATGTAAGCGCCCTGTGAGCAGATAACGGCCAATGCAACAGCAACCCGAAATGTGGAATGTCATTGCCTGTATAAATGCATTCTCCGAAGCAGTCTCATAAATTTAACAACCTCCTAGCCTAGGCATAGCTCATCGAACGCAGGCGACCATATACTGACGTGTGATGCAACCTAAACACATAGTGCTTCCCACTGAAACCTTTGCAGCTGTCTGAAATATAAGGTGCAACAATGGAGACCGCAACTACGTTGGAGAGACAGGTCGACCGCATACACGAACACAACCAAGT